AACTATTCATAAAAAGCCAAAAGTGGTGCTGTGGCTCAAATGGTAGAGCGCCAGCCTTGAGCACAAGAGGCTCAGGGGTAGCACCCAGGTCCTGAATTCAAACTCCAGATTGGCAAAACAACCACCCAACCAACCAAATAAATAAATATGGGCTGGGCACTCTAGAGCTTACAGAGCATGCCAGCATCTGGAGGCCCAGAGAAAAGGAGATGCTATAGAGCTCAAGTCCCAAGGCTGTCTGGAAGGAGAATTTGCTTGGGGAGAGGAGGTAGTGTCTCCATCTTTTTTGGATAAGGCTCACACCAAAGTGTGGAGTTTCCTCTGCTTTATTGAAAGTCAGTCAACCTAAATGTAAATCGCATCTAAAACCATCCCTCACAGCAACACCTAGCTGGTGTTGACTTGGCCAAAAAAAATAAAGAAAGAAAGAAAAAATATTTAAAACTGATTGCACAAATAGAAACGATGAACCACCCAGAAGCATGGTCCTAAGCAGAGAATACAGGAGACAGGGCCAAGGCAAGACAGGCTTAGCAGTTAAACAAGGATCATACCAGAGGGCAAGCTGGATTGCAAACTAACGTGGACTCAGCTCTAGGGGGCTTACATAGAGGGCCATTCATTCCCAGCCTCCCGAGGGCCTGGAGTCCCTACGAGGCCAGTCTTCTAGCCCTCTGCAAGGCCTAGGAAGAAAGGTCTGCCCCGCCTGGATACAACCGGCTAGGCAAGGACCCACAGAATCATTCTTCTTTTCCACCAACTTGAACTTGAAGAATTGAAAGCTTTTCAACCATGAAAGGCCATGAACGGAAGGACCACAGGAGAAGCAGTCCACAGAGGCCTCAGGAAGAGCGGTGAGAACTGAGTGGGTGGAGGCACACGGAGAGGGCAGGCAGGGGAGAGGAACGTGTCCTGGGGTGAGGAGGAAACACCTCAGGGTATTTCATGACCCTGTGTGCATTAGTCAGGGCTCTCCAGAGAGGCTGGGCAGGGGGATGGCAGACTTGTAGCAGGCTAGGTAGCTACAGGAGAGACAACGCGTTAAAATTGGCTCAGGTGATTAAGGAGGCTTAGAGCTGGAGGCCAGCAAATGCTGGCAGTGGGGAATCTAGGACCCAGAGCTGCAAGAATGCAAGAGTCCAAAGAATGGGAAGCCTAGTATCCAAAAACAGAAGGAGGACAGTCAGAGCCAGGGGACAGATGGACACAGACGCCATTCCTCCCCAGGGCCAGGCCTTGCCACATAAAGGGTGGTGTGCCAGTCCACGCACGTGCTCATCTCCTGTAGCTACATCCTGATAGACACTCCCCACGTCAAGCCGAAATAGGTTTCTAGGTATTCCTTAATCCTGTCAAGTCCACGCCTAGAATTAACCACCGTATCATGTTAAACCAATGTGTCACCAGGGAGTTTTCAGTCAATCGCCCCAGGGTCTGGTGGCTTTGTCCTGCTTTCCCTCAAGATGCACAGGGTGAGCATCAGGCTCAGGGGTGACCTAGGCCAAGCCGTGTGTGATCCTTGGAATTGCGGAGAGCCCAGGCACCACGTAAGCACACCGCCTGGACCCGAAGCCCCAAGCCTGCCCACAGCCTGCACGTGTGAGTCCTTGAGGAACGGGGGGAAGGGAGAGTCGGCCAACAATCTCCTTCCTCAGACCTTAGCTGGGTGTGCTGTTCACGCAGTTATTGCTGGTAACGTGCAAGGGCGATTGTTTGTTTCAGGGAGGAATTGGCACGTGGATACAAAAGCCTGGGACACACAGGCGTGAGTCCTCTGGCTTCCCCAGGGTGTGGCTGGCTTTTGAGCTCGGGTCTCCCTGGGGTGGGCACGCTGGTCATCACTGTTGACATTACCACTGGGAGGCTTGCCGAGGGAGCTTAATTACTTCCTTAATTAAGCTCCTTAGGTTTGCATTCAGGAGTTCTGTAACCTTTCACTCCAGAGAGGCTGCTCCTTTTGAATTGCCTGTGGTTCATTAAAATATTACCTAAGACTTGTAATTGTTTCTGCTCATGTAAAGAAGTTTCTGTTGTTGTTTCGTGCTGGGGATTGCACCCTGGGTCTCGTGCACGCAACGCCCCTACTCTGCCACTGAGCTACACCCCTTGGTCCTCATTTGAAACGTTTGAACACTTACTCAAAACGTCAAAGTTCCAAGAAGCATAAAAAATGGCTGAACACTGGCAAGAGTTTTAGAAACCATAGAAACCACAAAAACAAGCTGTCGGGTTGTTAGGGAGGGAAGCAAATAGACTGTGAGATAACATTGAAGGTTTACTTTGATGAAGCTGGCAAGAGCCCCAACAAGAGAACAGTTCCAGCTGCATAGGGCGGAACTGGGACCCCAGACCTCTCCTGGAGGAGGGTGGGGTGCAGTGATCAAGAAAGACACAGGCTCAGAACTCAACGGCTTCCCTGTGGAACACAGGGGTCCAACAGGGGGTCACCATGACCAAGTAAGTCCAACTGTAGTACCATGGTAAAAGCACATAATAATCCCAGGAACCCGGGACTGTGTTCTAATTACTAGAGTAAAGGGAGGGTCACGCCCTAGGTGAATTAAGGTTGTTGATGCTGATCTGGAAATAGGGAAATGATCTTGGATACTCCCGGGGTGTCCGAGTAATCACTAGGTCCTCAAACACAGAAGAAGGAGGAGGAGGGGGAAGAGGAGGAAGAGGAAGGAGTTGGAACAGTGAGTTGTAAGAAGAAATGGTCCTGCAGTGTGGGCTTTGAAGAAGTCCAAGGCCATGGAACTGGTTCTCCTGTAGCCATCTCCCAAAGGAATCCAACCCTGGACACCTCCGATTGCAGTGCAATAGGACTCATGTCCCACTCCACAGAGACAGAACTGTAGGAGGACGTGTGTGTGGTCTGCCAAACCTGTGCCTGTTAGGCCAGCAGCAGACAACAAATACAGTCACAAGTCACTTAACAACAGACAGCTGATCTGAGAGACTCATCACTGAATGAGCTCCACATGGATTAGAGACAACAGAGCCTAGCTACACAAAGGAGAATGGCTGGGACACCAGCAGGAGATACAATCACAAGGGCAGGAGGCACGTTGTCCACTCAAAGGTCCTGGGTTTTTCCTACAATACTGCCAACTTCTGCTAATGACAGGACGCCTTCCAACAAATCTCAGATTTTTACTTTATCACGCCAATTAAGCACATGAACTTTTAGCTTGCTTTGGGGCACAAACTTAGTTTGTGGTGAGCGGATTTTTTTACAAAATGGAGAGCGGGACCTCAATCAACAGCTCACACAATGATTTAAACACAATTGGGCCACAACCCAGGACTGATAGAGAGCCATTCTTCCTCGACTGAGCTGTGAGAGGCACCCACAGCCATTTTTTTGTTTGTTTGTTTGTTTGTGTGTTTTAGAAATTTCTTTTGAGGGCTGGGAAGATGGCTCAGTGGTAGAGCGCTTGCCTTGCATGCCTGAGGCCCTGGGTTCGATTCCTCAGCACCACATAAGCAAAAAGAAAAAAGCCGGAAGTGGCGCTGTGGCTCAAGTGGTAGAGCGCTGGCCTTGAGCTGAAGAGCTGAGGGACAGCACCCAGGCCCAGAGTTCATGCCCCACGACCGGACCCAAAAAAAAAAAAAGAAATTTCTTTTGACTTTTTAAAATGTTTTATTGTTGTTGTTGTTGTTGACTGGTCAAAAGCATGTCAGTAAAGCTGGCTTACTCTTTTCTAGCAAGTAGAATCACCAAAGTTGGACGGAAAAAGGCCAAGTGTAATGGAGATGGTGATCTTATTATATACTGAAGACATGAGCTTCGCATAAAACAGGTCCACATCTTCTCCACTCCGTGGTGTTTTTCTCTCTGCAGAATTAGACTTCTGTGCTCAGTTCAGTGGAAGCACTCCACAGCACAGATTGAGATCACTAACTGATTTCCAAATCCTGCTCCCACACTTGTTAATAATTACTCAGAATTTACTACAGCATCTGCTTAAACCAGAATCAAACCTAATTCTCCATTCAGGAAAAAAAAAAGTTTATGTTAGAAAACGGAAATTGTGCCCAGATTTCAGCTTTGTACCTCTGCTTAAACCATTCCAACAGATAAAGTCTTATTCTGGGAGACAATGCATGGGGTTCTATGCAGAACAGAATCCTTTAAAAATAGAAAATAGGACCTCCTGTCAATACAGATATAACTGAAATGACCTCTATGAATCCTGGGCCAGCGTTCTAGAAGAGCATGGAGCCACTGCCCTGATCTCGAACTCGGCACATACCTGCCCTGGAGTGGAGCCCAAAGGCTGTGTGGTCACTGAAGGGGAAATTCTCTCTCATAGCAAAAGTGGCTCCGAGGGTGCTGGGTGCTGGGTGGGGCGGGGAAGAGGCTCTAGCTTTCTGGCCCAAGTCCTACAGATGAGGGTGGTGGGGTGACAGGAAGCAGTGTGGACAGGCCAGGTTGGAACACAGAGAATGTGGCTGAACGAGCTCTGTGCCACGTGCCATCTAAGGGGAGTGCTCAGGGCCCCCGCGCATTGCCAGGAGCAAGGCCAGACCATGGAGACGGGAGGTGAGGGGTGTGAGGCAGCCAAGGGGGCTCGGGGCCTCGTCCACACCAGGCGGACGGCTCAAGAGGCTGGTGGGACGAAGGACCCGCTGCCCTCGGTGTGACGACTGTCCCCCGGACATGGCTCCTGGGGCTGAGTTTCCACATCTCTGATCCTGCTCTGCGACTTCTGCCTTCACGTCCCCTTTGGCATTCCAGAGTACAGGGCTCCAGTCAGAAAGGAATGCCTTGGGTCTGAGTCATGGTCTGTTGCTATCTGCTGGGAGCTCCCTGCATGGGGACATCCTGTCACTCGGAGTTACCCACAGCAGCAGGCCGGGCGTGGCACGGAGACGTAGAAGACAGGAAGTGGAGGGCTCTGCGTCCTACCCACTTGGCAGGGCACTTTCAGCTTCCTGGGTTAGAGAACTCCACCCACCGCAAAACCCACTTCCTCAGCCAACTTGGGGCGCTGGCATGAAAGGGAGGGAGGGTTAGGGAGAAACTCAGTGGGGAGGCGATGGCCCCTCACCTTGTGCTTTTCTTGTGCTGTCAAGACCCCCTCTTTCGAGACTGCTGGGCCACAAGATGAGCATGATGGGCGTGAAAGATAAAGGGACAGCGTGCGGCGGAGCTGTGTTCCCTCCTCACCCGAGCATCCAACCCTGTCAGCTGGAAATAACACGTCACGTGAGTAAGTTGGGGGGGGGAAGTACTCAGTTTTGGGTGCTATGTGAGCCCCACCCAGAGAAGGGGCTGCTAAGAAGTATGACTGGAATCGTTGAACAGAAGCTTGCCTTCTACCCCAGGACACAGGGCCCGGGAGGATTCCAGGAGGACTCCGGGAGGATCCAGACTAAGAAGTAGCCTGCCTTCGCGAGACTTGGGGCGAGAGGAGTTCGGACTTCCCACCACTCTGGTCCCAGAAGCTTCTAGAAATGGTACACCATGGGAAGGAGTCAGCCTCTCTTGCCCTCCAAGCCAGAAAGATTTCTCCTCCAGGAGTTCAGGAACAGGGCCCCGGGGGCCACTGGAGTCAGGTTTGGGGGAAAAAAAGAGGCAGAGACAAGGCGGAGGTGAGCAGTCCTTCCACTCCAGGTGGGATCAAGTGCAACCCACACTTCTCCCCAAACAGCTGAAATAAATCCACAAGTGAACACATTCTGTCTTCAGCAGACATGAAGCGGCCCTTGATTGCACTGAGCATCAATGCCTAGCAGATTCCAGGAGAGCTAAAATTATCATGAAGTTTCTTTCAGTAACTGAAGACTTGCCTGTTGAGAATGCGGGTTAGCTGGGCACCAGTGGCTCACACCAGTAATCCCAGCTAATCAGGGTGGCTGAGGTCTGAGGATCGTGGATCGAAACCAGCTCAGGCAGGAAAGTCCATGAAACTCTTATCTCCAATTAACCACCAAAAAACAAAAAAGAAATCAGAAGTGGTAGAGCACTAGCTTTGAACAACAAAGCTTAGAGACAATGCCCAGGCTCTGAGTTCAAGCCCCACAACAAAAATAAAAATAAAAATAAGATGTGGCTGAGCTGGCTCATCTCAGGGTAGCTGCCAACCATGCACCCCAATGTCTGCATCTCTCTGGCTCGGGCCCCACACTGCTGCTGCTTCTGGGTGTCAGTGCCCAGCAGGCCTCCTGGAAGGCCCCCTCCTCACATCCAGACTGCCTCCAGCCGCCATCCCATCCACCCCCAGGCAGCTAGCAAGTCACCCTGATGTGCGTCTCCTCCAAGTTGTTTTTCTTTTTGGTCGGTCATGGGGCTTGAACTCTGGGCCTGGGTGCTGTCCCTCAGCTCTTCAGCTCAAGGCGAGCACCCTACCACTTGAGCCACAGTGCCACTTCCGGTGTTCTGGTACTTTATTGGAGATAAGAGTCTCATAGACTTACCTGCCTCAGCTGGCTTTGAACCGTGATCCTCAGATCTCAGCCTCCTGAGTAGCTAGGATGACAGGCGTGAGCCACCGGAGCCCAGCATCTCTCCTCCATCTTGAGCAGTTCCTCCCATGGAGGGTCTTGGAGGGTGTTCTTGGGTGACTGACGGGTCCACATGGGATAGCTAAGGTTGACAGCACTAACTTTCTGTGCTTCAAAGGCTAGGCCATCCCAATGCCAACAGTCTACCGGCAATGGCAGCCATTACACACACACACACACACACACACACACACACACACACACACACACTGATCTTTCCTTCTCCATCCTCTGCCCCTCTTCTCTGCTTCTAGTCTTGTAGCTTCCTCTACAACTTTAGGAGTTGGCTTTCATTCCTGTTACCTCTTTTTGTCTTTCCCCAATCTTGAGCTGAGATAATTAATTGCTGCTAAGTAAACCCAGCTCAAAAGAACTGAGAAAGGAAGAGAAAAATACGCTCTTCAGAGGAGCTTGCGACAAACTCTACCCACATGAGCTCCACCAGGAGCTAATCATTTTTACCATGCATCCAAGCAACGTCACAGTGTTTACCCCAAAGCCCCGGCACTGGTCCTCCCAAAGCCTCACCCTGAGCTGAAATAACCACCCCTGTGTCTCGTTCTTTCCTCTCAGCATCTGCATTTTGCACATTTGAGACCATACTGTAATTCACGTTCTATTTCCTCTGATTTGGATCTTGAACTCCTCATCTTCCTGAAGGCTTGTTCCCTGGTGTGATCTGGGTGCCGGTGGCTCGCACCTGTAATCCTACCTACTCAGGAGCCTTAGATCTAAGGATCATGGCTCAAAGCCAGTCCAAGCAGGAAAGTTCATGAGACTCTTATGACCAGTTACCAGAAAACTGGTGGTGCTGGGGCTCAAAGTGGTAGAGAGTGCTAGCCTTGAGCAAAAGAGCTCAGGGACAGTGCTCAGGCCCTGAGTTCAAGTCCTATGACTGACAAAAAAAAAAAGAGGTGGTGAAAGCTTCCAGAGGTGGGAGGTCTTTAGGTCGCTGCTTCTCCCTCTTGCCTGGTAGCCATGAGTGGCTACCACACAATGGCAAACCAACCAGCTTTTCCAGAAAGTAGCTCAGCAACTGGTATCAAAGCGATCAGAGAAGTTCATAGGTTTTGAAAATGTATCCTACCTAACACTAACACGAGGGTGGCTGGCTACAAACCCACATGATTGCTCTTGCCCAATTCAGAAAGTAGACACCAGGAACGTTTGAAGCAACTGAGACTCATCCACTAGAGAGAAGGTTTTAAAGCCCCTGAGATTTCATAGGAAGAATCCTTGCGGAAATGTGAAGATGCTCACCAGACAGCTCACACGGAGACGGAGCTGTGTAGGAGGAGTGCTTGTGAGGATTGCGTAGAAGCGGGCGGCAGAGTGGAGCGCCTGCTGGTGAGATGCGGCCCCGACACTGGGGTGACACGCTTTTCTTTTATATGTCTCTCTACTTTCAGCCTTTTCAAAAATAAGTACACATTGCTTTTGTCATCGCATAAAGTAACTATTAAAAAGAAAAGAGAGGGGCTGGGAAGGTGGCTCAGTGGTAGAGTGCTTGCCTTGCATGCTTGAGGCCCTGGGTTCGATTCCTCAGTACCACATAAGTGGAAAAAGCCAGAAGTGGTGCTGTGGCTCAAGTGGTAGAGCACTAGCCTTGAGCTGAAGAGCTGAGGGACAGTGGCCAGGCCTAGAGTTCAGGCCCCACAACCGACAAAAACAAAACGAGAAGAAGGAGAAGGAGAAGGAGAAGAAGGAGGAGGAGGAGGAGGAGGAGGAGGAGGATTCATTGGTTTCAACAAAGAATGGAGTAACAGCTGGAGTAGGCTGTGATGTGTGTGTGTATGTGTGTGTGATGTGTGTGTGTGTGATGTGTGTGTGTGTGATGTGTGTGTGTGTGTGTGATGTGTGTGTGTGTGTGTGTGATGTGTGTGTGTGTGTGTGTGTGTGTGTGTGTGTGTATGTACGTGCACACTGGAGCATCATGTTTTCAGGGTGTGCGTTCTTATCTGAAAGTGAGCAGGGCTCCACCGGGCACAGGGACAGAGGAAGAGCAAGAGCGGCGGGTCCTCCTGAAGGACAGGAGACGTGGATCTAGGGCTCCTTGGAGAGACAGGCCTTGCTACTCGCAGCAGTATTTCTTCCCCAGAGATGGAGAAGGAAGAAGATGTCTGACAGTACAGTTGACATTTCATATGGGGAGCAGAAAAGTACTCACTTTGTTCTGTTCTTTCTTGAAGATTCTGGGCTGTCTTCGACTGTACCTCGGACTACTTCAGACCCCAGACCACACCTGCAATAGACAGGAAAGCATGCCTGTCTTTCACCTTCTGCCACAATTCTTTGTCTATTTAAACCCAAAGCTCATGTCTGTACCCTGAAGGTGGTGGATGATGGGGTGAAGTGTTTAATTTGCCTCTTTCTAAGGCTTCCTGATCGTGCCATGTAATTCATTTCCTTTCTCTGCCTTTCAAAAATAAATAAATAAATAAAGCAAGCAAGCCTCTGTGTTATCTGCAGAGGCAGGACGAGGAGGCAGAAGGACTCTCGGGCCGGGGATAGAGTCTGCAGTGGGATAAATTCGTGATGGGAGAGGAGCCCACGGGGCGGGTCAAAGGTGGCGGGAGGCTGGCGTGGGTCCTGTGGGGCAGAGATGGAAATTCGTACCAGCAGTGAGCAGCAAGGTGATGTGATTTCCAGGAGGCTCATGTGGTGCTGGAGTCTGCAGAGCACAGGATGGCTGGGCGGCTGGGCTTCCCTGGGGCCTCTGCCCTGTGGGACGGGGCTCCTCGAAGTGATGCTCGGGTGTTGGGGGACAGGTTCTAGTGAGGAGAGAAGACATCTGTGTCCATCCATCGCTTCACCGCTCCCTGACTCTAAGAAAGCCAGCAATCTGACATCGATTTTATTTACTTATTTTTTTGAGACAGGGTCATATTGTCTTGCCCTATGCTGGCCTCAAACTCATGATCCTCCTGAGTGCGGGGATTACAGGCATGCACCACCACACTGGGTCAAATGAGACCTTAGATAAGGGGGCTGGACTGCAGGTGCAGAGGTAATTCTAGAAAATGAAATCAGGCCCAGGCGTTCAGCGCACTCCATGGCTTTTGAATCCAATCATTAAACAACAAAACAACTATTCGGATTGAAAAAGGGAAAGATGGCCCGAAATCCCAATAAATGTATCAGCCACGAGCCCAGAAGCGCATGGAACTCTGTGTGCAGCCCGGCAGGCCATGGGTGCCGGGAGATTACCGTTACGTAGTACGGGACGCACCGGCCATTGTCCCTTCCAGCATCAGGTCTGAGTGTCTTTTGCAGAATCCCAGATGGCCCAGTGAGATGAGATAAATGTCTGTCCATCTCACAAGCCGTGTCCCACAGGTGTGAGGCCCACGCGCTTCCTCGCTCTGCTCTCCTGCCTGTCATTTCCCAGGTCTCCCTCCGCGTGGGGCCCCTCCTGGCTGCTCTTCACCCAGCCTTGAAGCCTTCGGGCTGAGCCAGCTCCAGAGCCCAGGAGGAGCTGTCGCCCGCCCTGTCCTCCTGCAGCGTGCCCAACAGCTCTGGAAGGGCGGGATAACGGTGAAGGCGTGTCCCTGTCACGTGAAGCGTCCTGCTTTCTTTGTTTCTCTCCCCCGACTGAATTCAAGTCAGAAGGGTGCTTGCAAAGATGAGGAAACTGTGATGGAGGGGGGCAGGCAGGAGGCCCCAGGATTCCTCATCTTCATTTACGTGTCCTGCGTGCCCGGACCCTTACACATTTCTACACTCAGGCTCTGCTCACAAGGCCGGGGGGAGGGGGGGGGGGACTCTTTGTGGCCCAAAGCAGAAGGGACAAAAATAATAATAATAATAAATAATAACAGTAAAATAATAATAATGGTAAAAATTCCTCACCAAGACGCTTTCCAACTCTTTGTGCATGGTGGCTCAGAACATGACACTTCCCAAAACCAAGTGTCTGAGTGACTCCTCCTCCCTTTGAGATTTTCTTTGGACCATTTCCAAGTGCTCCCGTGCCCCTTCCTGGATAACCCCATCTTTGGTGGCCGGCCGCTCCCTTCTGCACTGGGACTGGTCTCCGCACGGCCTCTGCCCCTCTGCCTCACTGCCTGTGTGTGTGCCCGCTCAGGCGGGCCACCTGCCTTTCTGGGACCGCTGCCACGTGGGATGTGGCGGCTTCCTCATCCTGTGCCTGTTTCTGGACAGAGAAGAGAAGTGGATGAGAAGCAGGCTCCTCTCCTACAGCCTCCAGCTGCTGCCTGACCGCAGCACCTGCGTGGGCCGGGGGGCGTCATGCGCGGCTTGCTGCCGCACCACAGTGAACAGGGACAGCCTGCAGTGCCTCCAGCCCCCAGCCTCCTGCATGATGGCCTTAGCTGGAACTCAGAACCGTCACAGAGCACGCAGAAAGTCAGCCATGGGCTGCCCCTCTGTAACATGCTGAAGAAGTCTTAGGCTAGCGTCCCCTGGCAGCTTGGGGCTATGACCCCGTTTCCTGGTTCACAGCCCAGCAAAGGCCAGCCCTGGACTGCAGCTGTTGGGGTGGAGAGCTGGCCCCTGGGTGGGGCAGGAGGCAGAGAGAGACTTCCACTGCCTCTTAGACTTTTCACAGTTAGAACTAGGCAATGCTTTGGAAACAGAAAGGTAGAACTTGAACGGAGTCCATGAGGAACAGGAAGTTCATATGTTAGCCCCAAGGACATCTTTCTACCTCGAGCTGGTTAGGGAGAACAGATTAGCTTTGATTCTTTTCTTTCTTTTCCTTCCCTCCCTCCCTCCCTCCCTCCCTCCCTCCCTCCTTCCCTCCCTCTCTCCTTCCCTCCCTCTCTCCTTCCCTCCCTCCCTCCCTCCCTCCCTTCCTTTCTTCCTTCCTTCCTTTCATTGTAAATCTTGAACTCAGGGCCTGGGCGCTGTCCTTGAGCCTCTTTGTACTCAAGGCTAGTGCTCTACCACTTGAGCCGCAGAGCCACTTCCAGATTTTGAGTGGTTCTGGAGATAAGAATCTCACAGGACTTCTCCTCCCCGAGCCAGCTTTGAACTGCGATCCTCAGATCTCAGCCACCCGGGTGGCTAGAATTACAGGTGTGAGTCACCTGCACCCAGTGAAGGTGAGCTTCTTTAGGGGGAGAGGGGAAGAAATGAGGGTGAAGGGTTGCGCCTGGAGGCTGGCGCCTGCTGGAAAGTGGGGTGAAGGTGGAGGAGTCCATGGGTGAGGAGTCTGAGGGATACAGCTGGGGGAATGCCAGCCTCCGCCCAGGTGGGAAACAACAGCTCCTTCGCCTCTTAGTCAAAAGACACATGACAAAGCATGATGTTTTCAATAAAAAGCTGGAAAACAGAACACTCTGATTTTGTTCAGAATCTTGCTTTCTAATAAAACATGATACCAGTTTGAAGTAATTTGTTTTTTTAAAAATTACTAAATCCTGTTACTTTTTTGTACATTTTCGATTGTAGAAATGGTACCTTTTTTGAGAACTCAAAATCTGAAATGCTAAGAAAATTCAATAAAATTAAAGAAAACAAGAGCTTATTCCTCTCAACAGGAAATTATTTTGTATGTGTGCCTATACACAGTGCTCCTTATATTTATCACAACATATATGTGTACCATAATCCTAATCAAAAGAAAACATTGAAGGAACACTTTCAACAACAAAAACAAAAAAATCCTTTGTCTATCATACAAAGAAATACCACAAGCTCACAGGAAGAGACAGGCTCACCTCAAAGACATGGTTAAGGGGTGATGAGAACTGGTCTTGGCTGGAAGAGCCAAGCAAGAGCACCAGGTCCTGAGTTCACACCGGGTAGCCGTGTACACATGCACACACGCAAGGGTGAGAAGGAACTCAGGGCTGGTCCACTACTGTGTCCTGCACTCTCCATCCCAAACTTTCCCCTGGTTCTGACTACTGCTGCCTCCTCTAAGTGATCCAGACTGACCATGACAGTCCTATTTCAAGATCCTGAACATTTTCTTTTTCTTTTTCTTTTTTGTCAGTCATGGGGCTTGAACTCTGGACCTGGGCACTGCCCCTGAGCTCTTCAGCTCAAGGCAAGCACTGTACCACTTGAGCCACAGCACTACTTCTGGTTTTTTGGTGGTTTGTTGGAAATAGGGGTCTCACAGACTTCCCTGCACCAGCTGGCTTTGAACAGTGTTCCTAATAGCTCAGCCCCCTGAGTAGCTAAGATTACAGGCGTGAGCCACCAGCACCCATTTTCTAAGGAGAATGTCCTCAACAAGGACAGGGTGCCTGTTTGTCAATCTGCAGCACTTGACCTACAAGAGGTACTTATTAGATAGTAGCAACATGAGTGAATAAATGAACAGATGAATGAATGAATGGATGAATGAGCCCAGCAGGCTTCTCGGGCCCCGAGTCTCCACCCTGCTGGAGAGGGCTGCGTGAGAACATGGCACACATGCATTGGAACGTGCTAGCCAGAGCTCAGCTTCAGCCCACCCATGCCTGTGGGGCCGTGGGCTGCCCTTGGCTTCCCATGTGAGTCTGGGTCCCGCTCTTTAGCCTGCCCCCCCTTACCCCCCTTTTAAGGAATCATGTGAATTCAAACCCACACAGCTCTTAGTATTGCTTCATCCTTTAAAAATATGAATTCTAAATTTCACTGAACATTTTTCTCTTGATTTTCCCTTCCAGTTATTTTTCTGAAGGAAGTGTTGGTGAGGAGCATAGGAGCTACAAATGATCAAGAGTTCATTTTTGTATGCTATAGATAAATCAGTGTTTAAAGAGGTAAGAAGAAATGCTATTAGAAGAATAGAGGATATTAGTAGCAGGAATCTATATAACATCTAAAAAGTCATAAAATTGGTTTCTGTTTTTTCTTTGATGCTGGTCCTGGGGCTTGAACTCAGGGCCTAGGCACTGTCCCTGAGCTTCTTTTGCTCAAGGCCAACACTTTACCACTTGAGCCACAGCACCACTTCGGGCTTTTTCTGTTTGTGAGGTACTGAGGAATCGATTCCAGGGTTTCATGCATGCAAGGTAAGCACTCTATCACTGAGCCACCTTCCCCAATCCCACTACTGTCTTTTTGATGGTTAATTGGAGATAAGAGTTTTATAGGCTTTCCTGCCCGTGCTGGCTTTAAACTGTAATCCTCAGATCTCAGTCTCCTGAGGAGCTAGGATTACAGTATGAGCCACTGATGCTTGGCCTCCTTCTACTGCTACTGCTACTGCTGCTGCTGCTGCTGCTGCTACTACTACTACTACTACTATTATTTTGCCAGTCCTGGGGCCTGAACTCAGGGCCTGGGCACTGTCCCTAAGCTGATTTTGCTCAAGGCTAGTACTCTACCACTTGAGTCCACAGCTCCACTTTGGGCTTTTTCTGTTTATGTGGTGCTGAGGAATCGAACCCAGGGTTTCATGCATGCAAGGCAAGCACTCTACCACTAAGCCACCTTCCCAGACCACAAGGAGCATTTTAAGCAAATGTAGATTGTAGATGGAGAAAGGTA